AGAGAGAGAGAGAGAGAGAGAGAGAGAGAGAGAGACTCTGTGTTAAGAGAGCATTAAGAGAGTCATAAGAAAATTCTTTAATATATTAATCGATTTACACGAATAAATAAATAATTAATTTGAAACACAAAATATTTTGGCTATAATTCAAGGCTTAATAAACACATAATAAATATATTAAACATACATACATGCACACCATTATCATAATCATAATTATTTTGTCTCACAAATATTTAGACTTGATTTTTACGATTTAAATCAAATAAGTAAAAAGTAAAACATACTAAAACTACTAGTCCCCACTATATGCTACCCGTCCAACCTTGAGCTTAATATACCTTAAATAATAAGCTTATAATAATACGTAAACCGAATTAGTGTTATGATTAAACACTTAACTTATATGTACATGTATTTTGTCGTTATAATCAGTGTATATATAATTATAAGTCAATTATGGTGTTAAAACACTATTGTTTTCTGTTGTATACATAAAATATATATTTAATAGTAGTTTAGTCATTAAAATACACCGTTTTATATTGTATATACATAAATCAAATAATAATATTTATATATTGCATATTATAGTAGTAATAATTTATTTAAACTTTTGTGTTTTGACATATTGTCACAAATTTTGTCCGTTTAGCCCATTGTTTATGCATTAATAATGCATTTATTTTGTCAATCATTCGCAATAAAAATAATAATATAATCGAGAAATTTATGCACTAATAGTAAAATGCTATTAAAATAAATGAAAAGTAATTTTTATAAATAATTTATATAATTACATCAACAGTATATTCATATTTATTTTGTCATATGAATTTAACATGTAAATATTTGACAAAACAAAAAATTTTTATAAAACATAATACTGTATATTGTATTAACAAAAATTAATTAAACTTAATTTATAAAAAATAATCAGTTAAAAATAAAGTAATGGTTATAGTGCCGGTATTAAAATATGTATATAAATAAATATTTCTAATGTTTTTGAAATAAATATTTACAGTTTTAAACAATATTATTAAAAAAAATTACATAATTAATCTTGGATAAAAATTAATAAATTTTCTCAATTAAACCCACAGAACACTCTAACCCACCGGTCGGGTACACCTAAATACAAAGTGGAGACCTCGTGGACCCCGCCCCGGGGTTTCATAGGGGGCGTCATATTCCGCGCTACAATAGTTCAGTCGAAAAATGTATTCTGGACGGCATTGGACTCGCAATCCATACACATATCGGCGCCGGTAGTCATACAACACAAGCCTAACCTGGCCTACAATAGACAGGGAGACATAGCTGAGTCCAAACAGTCGGCCCCACCCGGGGATAACATACACGCCTCGTCGGTACCCCACTCGCAGTCGTCGACCGATGCGAGTCATAGCCGCATATCGTACGACATTTGCGACAAAAAGTTTTGCATCGGTTTACCCGTCAATTGCGTTAAGTTCCGCACCTGTAATATGCTGTTAGCGGGCGGGTATGTGTCCAGAGGGGACGGTATGGTCGAGTATGAAGTGTGGGCTGACGTTAATAAATATAATGGAAATTCGTATTATTCTGTGGGACTGTCGACTGATAACAAAATGGGCAAGTATATTTTATGTTTAAAATATAGAGTATAACTTTAGCATTTCAATTAAGTTACACTGTTAAGGCTGTTAGAAAAATAAAAATATTTGTTTAAAGTAATTTAACTAGAATAATGATAAAGTACTGGTTCATTAAAAGATGTTTTTTAATTTTAAAATCAACACGATTAATTTTTAACGATATACTACATTTTAAATATTATTATTTACTACAGAATAAATTTAAACAATTAACATTTTATGATTATCAATTTATATTATGTATCTATGAGCTATAAAGTTATAGATATAATTACTTTTGATATTATATCTTAAATTTAAACTATTATAGTTAATTTATATAAAATAAGCTATTTTCTAGAATCGAGTTTCAATTGTTATTAAGTTTAACTAAATTTTTAATCTGGATAACTTTACCCTATTTACAGGCGATGATAGCGTAACCGATTGTATGGTAACGGATGGCAGACCTGTACTGAGAAACAGTGTAAATATCGGTCGAAGTAATGAGTATTTGTCGGCAAATGAATACCACGGGGTGTCCCCTCTCAACACCACCTACTCTAACGGTATACTATACTGCAAGTGGAGGCGCAGGAGGCGGTCCACCGTCAGAGGGAATGCCTACGACTTGAAAGACAAAAAGTATTACATTTTACTGGCGTTTGGATTGTTGGGCGCCAATGAGGACAAGGAGTTTCACACCGAGAGGTTGGCCTCCGATCAGTCGGTGGACATCCGAGTGGTCGGGCATGTGATCACACACTCCACCACTTTTCTCATCCAAATTCACGGTATTTACTATTTATTGGTTTAAGACAATTAAAACTGTAATTAATATTATTATTTATTAATATGACATTATAATTATAAAAATTGTATTTAATTGGATGTATATAATGTAAAAAATGATTTATTTTTATATTTTAACATTCTATATATATTAATATAACAATTTTTTGTGTGCAGGAACCTTTATGATTGTGGCCTGGCTAGGATGTGTGAGCATAGCTATATTCATGGCCCGGTATTTCAAGCACCTGTGGCCCGAGGAAACACTATTTGGAGTTCAGATATGGTTTGCGGTCTGTATTATCTTCTAATAAAATTTTTTTTAAAAACTATAAATTTATGCAAAATTATAAAATTAAAAATAAATAATTGTTTTGTTAATAATAGACTCATCGATCACTAATGCTATCAGCATTGATCATGATATTAATAGCATCCATAAGTATCTGGATATACGTGGGCACATTTATACCGGTATGTTTATTTCTATATGAATCCCAGAGACTCGAACTGACTCTTCTCTCAATTTAAATACAGACTGTATTATAAAGTGTTTAAACCTAAGTCACATAGCTAATGCATTGTGAACTTGGTAAATGCTATGTGACTTAGGTTTAAACACTTTATAATACAGTCTGTATTTGAATTGAGAGAAGAGTCAGTTCGAGTCTCTGGGATTCATATACACACTATTAAGACTGTAATTATAACCTATAATATGAGTTTTATTTAGTTTTACATTATTTTTATATTTTTATTTATAGTTTTATAATTGGATTAATTGCAGCAATTTAATTTACTTTTGAAAATATTGATAAATGTTTAAATATTTTACAAAACCCTTAAAAATAACTTAAAATTGATTTTTGTGTGACATATTAGGGTCCGCACCAGTTGTTTGGTTTGGCAGCCATTATAATATCGGTGGTGAACCCGATTGGGGCCGCAATGAGACCCAAACCCTTGTCGTCCAAGCGATGGATATTTAATTGGTTTCATTTTAATTGGTTTCACTTTGTGTTGGGAAATGCGGGCCATATCTGTGCGATAACCGCACTCTTCCTCGCGTACAACCTCTCTGTCAACCAATTGTCGCAAATCTATTTGTGGATACTTATCATGTATGAGATCACCATTACCTAGTACCAATTTATCATCTATGTCAATTTAATCTAATAATTATTATTTGTTTCGAAACAGATATTTATTATTTCACATAACGTCTCACCTATTAATGCAAATCTATTCGTGTGATTGCACTCGTAGTTCAAGTAAATATTGGTTTTAATTTTCTATAATTTTAATTTTAATTAAGCTAGCATACTGTAAATTTAAAGGGAAGACCTTATAAACATTCAATTTTATATGAACTAGTTAAAATAAAGATAAAATTCCGACTTGACGAGGTTGCCAAAATAGATATTATGAATTTAAACCGATAATGATTTACTGTTTTGTTAATACACTTACATTTCGTTATAAAAATTTGTTATAAATTCTAATTAAATAATTATATTTTAATGAATTATTATTTAAAATAGAAAAGCTAACCAAATGATAATTATTTTATTTAACTGTTAATGCTTTATTATATAAGTGAAAAGTCTTACAGTTTGCGATTATTTATAACATAATTTATAATTTATATTAATAATAATAATTTCTTTTATAATTACATTTCACTAATAATCTGACGATAATTACAGAGACGAGTGATATAGCGATGCAATCGATGCCTGAATACAAGACAAGGAATTCAATGGAAAATATGACCAAAAACTCATTCATTCAGTTCTATCTCTTTCTATACATATGTGTCGTCAGTATTCTG